GTTATTTTCACTGTAAGTATTCTGTTAATAATGAGTGAAAACGGTGCGAATTTTCATGTTCCTAGAAGTTATGGCAAAAAATCTCATATCTGAACAATCAGTTATATTGAGGCTTTTGATAATGAATGACAACAGTGCAAAGTTTCATGTTCCTAGCTACTTAAATGGAGGAGTTATATCGAAAAATCTTATATCTGAACAATCAGTTGTATGGGAGCTATCTTTGTAATTTTCACTCTAAGTTTTCTGTTAATATGGGTGGAAGTATTGCAACGTTTCATGTCCCTAGCTACATAAACGAAGAAGTTATAACCAAAAATCTCATATCTGAACAGTCAGTTGTATGGGAGCTATATGTTATAGTGGTCCGATTCTTCCGGTTCCGACAAATGATTAAGACATTATAAAAATACACCCACCTAATAAGTTTCATCCGGATATCTAGAAAACTGAGATACTAGATTGCTTACAAACAGACGGACAGACAGACAGACGGACATGGCTAAATCGACTCAGCTCGCCGTTCTGATCATTTAAGTATACATTATCTATCTCTTCTTATTCTGGTACTTACAAACATCGGACCAAAGTTATAATACCATTTCATGCTCATAAAAGGTATAGGAATAACACAGGATAGAGAAAAAGGAGGTAAAAGTGTCAAAAAGTAGCGTTTTTTGCAATATTTTAGAGGGTCTAGCAAAAAAACAAAAGATGATAGAGCCTTCCACTAAGGCTTAAAACAAAGCTAACACTCTCAGCTACTATCCTTGAAAATACCATTCCTGATGGTCACTAATAGTCATTTATTGAGCAGTATAAAAATACTGGAATACTGTGCTATTGAAAAAAAAATCGTTAAAATCAGTTTTTTTCTGTTAAATAAATAACTATAAGTGACCTTAGGGTTAAGGGTCAGGGGTACTATTTTAAGAGATTGTAGTAGAAAGTTCAAGTTTAGTTTGAGTCTGAGTGGAAGGGTCTATCCCTTTTTTTTAATTGCGGTGGGTATTCAAACTTCGCACAAAATCAGGTTTGCTGTTCAATAAATGACTATAAGTGACAGATGTGTTACTTTCAGGGATATTAGTCGAGACTTCTAGCTTTAATTTAAGCCTCATATCGCTTTTTGTTTCTTTGCTACAGCTTCTAAAGTTTATCAAAAAATATGATTTTTTGACACGGATTCGTAATCAGCACAGAAAAGGCAATCAAAATCAGCTTTAACATTTGGAGCAACAAAATGATTTCCCATTGAAAAAATTGATCTTAAAATTTTTTTTGCGAATAATTTTTTGCAGAAGACAATTTTTTGACTCTGCGATCTCTCCATAGAGGTACAAATCATCAAAGTATATGACCAACATTTTTTTGTGAGCTGATTTGAAAAAATCTGCCCCATAAGTATGTTGTGTTAGATTTACCAAAGTGTCCCGGTTTGGCAACGGAGATATCTGGCAGCCCTACTTACAAGCCAAAGCAGATGTGTCAGGTTTTTCTTAAGCTTTTTAAAAAGAATTCTATATTCCCATTCCTTTGGCCCGGAGCAGAATATTGTTATTTTTTTATAAGCATTTGAATTATTGAAATCACGGAAGATGATCTAATTCTTACCTAATTAAAGGTCATATCTATAGACTTTTAATTATTTGAGCATCGATTCTCTTTATAGCCAAACAATGACCATTTTTGCTGGAAATCCCTATTGAAGGAGCTTACTCTTTGACTTTAAATAGCAAAGAAGGAAGACGTTGGGGCAGATTTTCAGCACAGAAGTTTTTAGCCAAGGATCCAGTGTATATCCCTATGAATTAAAATACTGCCCGACAAGTAAACAAAATTACTGTTTTTGAAATCTTTGCTAAAGTTAAATTCCCCAAAGAGCGCTATTAGAAATGGTTGAAATGAATATATGTAACGTCAGAACTTTCTTCAAAAGCAAAGCACGAAAATTTGGTTTAAAATTACAGTGCACACTTTCTTCTTTTATGTCTAGTAGTTTTTTAAAGATTGGCAAAAAAAAATCATAATAACGAAAGAAACCAATGCAGGAATTTAAGGCACAGAAAAACAAAAAATAACAAATAAAAATATTATTAAAAGGACAACAGGACGCTACAACTCTAAAACGAGCGCAGGCATGTGCTCTAGTGGCAAATAAACAAAAGGTGCACTAAAAAAAAGTTGTCATCAGAGCGATGCTATTTAGCCATCAATATGAAACTTTAGAGCATTTTTTTTTCCTCATTAATAATGTTATCTAAATGATATTTTCGAAATTGTGAAAGTGACATTTTCGAAATTTTCAGTTTGATACTGATTAATATTAATTTAATATGTTTTTGTGTTATCAATTTGATACTCCCTCTTATCGAATAGAGACTTATTTTTATCAAAACTGGGTATCTTTTTGATACTCATTATTATCAAATTGATACTCGATAACAAAACAATTTTTGGTATCAATTTGATATTCATTTTCTTATCAAATTGATATTTTTCCGAATATTGATTTGATACTCGCTTTTATAAAATTGACACCAGTTTTTTAGTATCAATTTGATATTCATCCACATAAGGTTCACCCCTCTCCCAAAAAATAAGGCGTTAAATACTTTCTTTTCACTTTTAAAATTTCTTTATTCGTATAAAGCAAACTCCTTTTACATTATGGTATATGTGAATAGGCGGTCCTTCGACATTAATTACATTATTAATTTGTAAGATGTTTTCTTTGATACCAACTTCATAGCATTGGTAGTGCTCATTAAAACATTTTATATTATAACACTTACTTAAAATATAGATTTCATTGCGATGACTTATGAGAATATGTTTGATTTTGTGTAAAGTTAATACACTTGTTCTAAGAGTCAAAAAGTAATCTCTTTTATAAATCAATCCATTGTAAATTAATTTTTCTATTATAATATTTTGAAAATTTTCATTTAAACTTGACAGTGCATATGCAAAATTTGACGTTTCTATATTACAAACTACTGTTTTCTGTATATCATATGTATTTGGAAAACCATTGTTTTGTTCTAAGAATGTTGTAAACTTTAATGCAGCTTTAATACTTAACGAATATGTAATATTCCTTCTGCACATAACATTTCGTGAATAAATTTTAGCTTCTCTGTGTTTTGCTTCAAATCTGAAGTTCCAAAAGTGCTTTGGAGGACCAGTTTTTCTTATTACTTCTGGATAATGCGTAAGAAAATGAAATTTCGGTTTAAGCGGTTTCTTGAACAAACGAATATACTCTTCGTTATGCTTTTGTATAAGAATCGATAGGTTATTTATAATACTAGCGTCAAATTTACTTTGGGCTAATATATCAACTATTTTTACCATATTAATAACGTATTTCCAGAGAATATTATCGGCAGGCACTAAGTCGCCAATTATTAATGTAATAAAATGCACTAAAGTCATCATTCACGCGCAGATGTTTTAATCGAAAAATTTTTAAGCTGTTGCAAGTTAAAATGAATCGATTTGTTTCCTATTTCTGTTTCACCATAGTCAAACATACTTTTCCGGTAATTGAAATTTTCTAATGTAAACAATTTTTCAGTCAAAATAAAATGCAAGAGAATTTCACAAATATTGTACCTACAAACACCTTCAAACCAGTCATGCATAATGTCTACAGCAAAATTATCAGTGGCATGAAAATGCTTCAATTGATTAAATAAACAGATCAATTTAATACCTGTTAACTTAACATTATTTTGCAAAACCGAATCTTCATAATTTTCTACGCCCCTGGAATATTGAGGGTGAGCTATACTATCTTTCGCCATGTCCTCTTTCGAGCGAATACAAAAGCGACAATAAAAATTTGAGTTCAAAGATGTGGTAAATCCAAGTATATCGTTGAGTCCTAAATTATCGCCAAGAATATTAGTTAATAAAAATTATACTTTTTTACTTCCGGTTCTTTTATTTATATTCAAGCCGAGTTCTTGAAGGTTTTTAAAAGTATTTATTAGAGGTTATAAAAATGGATCACTACCAAATTGTTTTTTATGAATACTTTTAAAATAGGCTGCCACAAATATATGGTCCAATTTTGATAGCAAATGCTGAGGAATTACAGGAAAAGTGTAATATACCCCGCATACATTATCAAAGTTGGCATGAGCGCCTAGTGGATTATTTACTTCAAATCCATCAACAAATATGTTGATTGGAATTACAATTTTGTTTTCAAAATTACACATTTTCTCTCTGAAAGATTCTGAGTTTATGTAATGCGTTATTTTTAAGTCACATTTAAGTCTTTCCATATTTTCTAGAGTTTCATCCAGAACATTAGGTAGTTCAAAAAATTTCTGAATTTCAAATTCAATAGGCATTAAGCATCCCCTAATATTAGAAGGCCCTAATGTTGGCCTATTGTTTTTCTGAATTTTTGTGATTTCGTTATTTACGTTAAAAAGAATCGGTTTTGCAAAATTTTTACTTAAAAGAAGATTTTTAAAAAACTTGTGTTCCGTGTCTGTATTGCGAAAAGGATTTGAGCAAAAATCTAGGAAATATTTGGTTTTTTTTTTAAGCTCTTCAAGTATGCTTTTTAAAAATATGTGCTTAAAAGCCTCTACAATGGCGGTATTTATAGTTTCTATATTTTCCTGTATAAGCAAGGCATCTTTTCTACAGAAATTATCTTTTGCATAAAATTTAATCAAAACATCTTGACAAATTTGTGTAATATGACTTTCAAACTTAGAAAAAACTTCATCTTCATACAAAAAGTTTTCAACATCCTCTACGATACTTTTTTTAGAGATCTCTTTTTTTCTGGCTGATTACAAGTGAAAATTTGTCTTTCAAAATTATTTTCGGATTTTTCCATATTGAACAAGTGTGTTTCGCTTATTCCTAAGTTAACGTCTGATTGTTTTGTATTGCTAACATTATTAGTCTTTTTAAAAGATTTTAAATTCAGATGCCTTTTAACATGTACCTTAAATCTTTTTAAGCTTGTGTACTCTCGATTACAATTATTGTGAGTACATCTATAGATATCTACTTCACTTAACCCATGATATGATACGAAATGAGAGTATAAAGCTGTCAAGATAGCAAAATCTTTATAGCATTTAAAACACACATTTTAGTCATTAAAACAAATCTGAAAATATGTTATTTGATTTAAATGCAATTGCTTAAATTTCTAATGAAATTAGTTACACATGGCTTCTTTACGTCATAAGGAGTAGAAATATCATAAAAGTAATGTTGAAGAAAACTCCACACGTGATGAGACTCATCAGGATATTTTAAAGAGAATATTTGATAAATTTTAAAGCAAATATCCAAAGATATTATAAACGAGCTGAATTTAAATTTTTAATAACCAAAGCTCACATAAAAATCAGTTAAACTCAAGAGATCAGAGCCAACTACAATTAAAAAGGGCTGTATCGGAGTTTTCGATTCTATAGACTTATTTCTACGTAGTTCCATTTGATGTTGCAAATCATTTACACTGGTAATATGTAATATAGAGCTGCTCACGGAACTTTGAATTGTAGCTTTACGATGTACTTTTAATTCGCCTTCTTTAATTATATACCGATGAGTTGGTTTTAAAATGGAGTGAAGCAGCATGAAATAAATGCAGTCTTTCGAATCTAATAAAAATAATCGATTACGTATATTTTTTACTATTAAAAAAAAATTTCAATATATGAGACTTACTTGTGTCGGTTATGCCTTTTACAGATATCAAAAGTTTTCTGTAGTATTTATCTTTTACGTGTTCCTCGTAGTAAACCGTACGCTTTGGTAACGTTTCAGCCCATTTCGACGTAATCATAAATTGTTTTTCTGGGTATAATTCTTTAAAATCTGCTTCAATCTGAAATTTATGTTTTATTGTAAGTTAATACGGTGTTGATAATACAAAAAAAAAATATTACAAATATGTACACTAGTTTACACGATAAATTAGCCTCCTTAAAGCTTACATTTTAGGCTTGAATTTAAGTCGCTGAGCACGACTATGGATTTTTTAAATGTTCTTGATCGCTGTAAACTAGTGTTATTAATATCAAACAAAACTATAGTGTGTATCACAATTATTAGCTACCCACATATTGACAAGCTTTGACTTTGTTAAAATTTGTTAGTATAACACAAAGTTTGAAACTGTAACTTTTTGTTAAAGAATAAACTTTAGTATAATAAAAAAATAACTAATTAATAGGTGGGTGGTATATAATTGTTATATACACTATAGCTTACAAATTTGTATCCCATGGCTTGCTTGTATAGAGGAAACTCTTCAATAACAGACTCAAATGATACTGCACGTTTAATGAAATGTTTGCGGTACGAATATGTGGCTTTCCACAATTCAAAAGAATCCTCCTCCGAACCAACATAAAATTTTAATTTATTTACATAGTCCAATATAACCGAGTCAATGACAGTTTGCTCTTGCTGTTTTTCATTATCAATGGTTTTTGATTCTAAGACGATTTTTCTTTTCCGATGATGATTGTGGAGCTTATTGAAAAGAATACCGCTTGGACTAGAATTTCCGCTTTTTTTTCGCCCCATATAATAAACATCTTTAGATTCTGTTGGAAAAATTTCTACGATTTGATCAGCAAGTTTTTCTATTTCGGCTAGTTTGAGGGTGGAATAACTTGCTGTAGCAGGCACATACAAATTTTCGGAAATAATTTGTACTATTTTACGCCTGTTGTCTTCTGTTAGATACTGGTTTGTAGCAAACTGTTTAATTATTTCTTTGCCAATTTCAGACGACTGCAATATTTCTTTTGCGCCCTACATAAACAATTTAAAAACTAATTATTAAATAAAAAGTTACTAAACACAATCAAAAGAAAACAGGTGGTTTCCAACAACAAAGTTAAAAGCATTTTTTTAAGTTTTTTCAATTAAATTTGTTATTGGAAACTGAAATTTTTTTTGCTATGATTAAAACTGGTAACCTGGAACGATGCAACAATGTGTGTTAAGTTTAAAATGTTAGATATGTAACTAACTAACCTTAGCGTTACTATGAGCTGTGGAACAGCTTGATTCTGGGAATGAAAATGTAGACGTTGTTGCGGCCAGGACAAAGTGGACGATTGCGAATCGTTTATGGACGTGCTAAAACCCTTAAAAAACATCAAAAACAATAAAAAAAAATACCTCTAAACTTTCAAATAAATAAATTTTATTTTTAAATTGCTCACTTGACTGGCCTTCCATTCGAATAACTTGACTCTGAACTCAGAACGTAGAGCTGTTTGTTCTCGATTTGGAAATATTACGTTTATGTCGTCCTTGTCAATGTATTTTAATTTCTCAAATGTATACCCGCATTCTGAATTATTATAAAATTTATAAGCAAATAACAAACACAAGCCGTAGCTCAACAACAGTGCCACAAGCAACCAACCAGGCAACATACAGTCACAGACAAAAATATAAATACACAAAATTTTTCACAATGTATGCACCATTTTCTATTTAATTTTGCTGTTAATTTTTTATGAAAATATAATTCCTACTAAAAAAACATAAATATAAAATTTTTAAACTTTGAATAAAAGTCAGGAAAGCTGAATAAATTTTAAATTTCCTAATGAGATTTTTTAGAAAATTTTGAAAATTCAGTTTTGTATCCCCTTACATTTTAGTACATTAAAGTGCAAGGAACTTTTTTCACGCAGTTCTTAAATAAAAAGTATGTTGTTTAACAACTTCAAACTATCACGTTACACTAAAATTTTATGGGCTACATATGTATATGAATTTTAAAAATTTTTCTAAAAAATCTGATTAGAAAATTTAAAATTTGTTGAGTTTTGCATAAATCGTGAAAAACTCTCGAATTTATACTTTTGTCTTTGACTGTAATATTTTTGTGTGCGGGCGTTTGCCCGGCACTGTTCCACAATCTTGAATACTTACCAATCAAACTCGTGTAGCACATTAAATCTAAGTTGTTTTGCTGTACAAAATTCAGCAGATCATCATGATAGTTCGACGCCTCCAATTGCTGAACCAAACCCGTAACAGTTTTGAATGTTACAACTTCATTACCGTCGTCCATTTTCTCCACCTAATGTATATGTACATAGGCAGTGTTATTAAAAGCAATTGAATGGTCGCCGCGAATAACGTTGTAAGCGACAATTTTCTTAGAACATGTTTCTTTAACTTTAACGATATAAATGTACAATGTAGGTACATTTTTCATAAATATTAGCCGTGTTTTTTACACACATATACATCTACGCTTAACGTGTAAAAAAACAATCATCGACAATTTCCATTTCAAAACAAGTAATTTTGATTTTATCGACAACTATTCATAAACACACATAAAGTTTGTCGCTTACAGCTCAATACAATTTTTAAGCGCAGATACGTATGTATGAATGTAAATAAACACGCATATTTTATGCTTTAAGGGCAAGTTTATTGAATTTTCCTGTACCGAAAAAGTAGAAAACCAAATCAAATGAGCTTATATATGTGCGCCATTAAACACATTTTCTTTTTATTTCTGCAAAATTATAATCTTGTCGCTTACATTGTTATTCGCGGCACAACGTTATTCACAAAGGCAAATAATTCCATTTGCATTCTTATGCACGCTCACACACATATGTCAAAATTTTTCGTCCACTTGCAAATGCTTTGCGTACGCACACAGTTTAGTGTAAGCTTGAAAAATATGCATATTACACTTTTTAAATTACCTTTTATTCTATAATTCTTAAAGATATTTTAATTCTCTTTATTTTGGTAATTAACCACAGCAAATAGTGAAGTAATAACGAAAATATTGGTCACAATAAAAGGTTCACGTTTTACGGCTGTATACTGCACGCGGCAACAAACGACAAATAATAGCTATCGTCTTATGAACGATCATCGCTCTTCGAATTTTCGAACATACATTCGTGAATAATGATACGTTTACAGTGTTAATTTGATACTGTCGCTTATCAAATTAATTGCATGTATATTAGTTCGATATTTTTGAGGATGGAATTGATCTATTAATTTTTCAAATTAATAGGCTAAATAGAAATCGAATACTTTTTATGATAAATTTAATATTTTCGTTGTTACATTGATACCAAAGAGACTATACAGGTCTCAATTTGATATTGTTAAGGGCAAAACTTATATTTTTCCTCATAAAATTAATAGCCAAAATACAAATGTAATATTTTTCAATATACTTTTAATATTATTTATGGTTATATTGATACCGGAAAAGGGATACTGTTTAAAGTTTCATTTTAACCCAACGTGTATTAAACTAATAGTGATACTTTTTTCGAGTGTAGGTAGAAAGCTGCTGCAATATTGTATATACATTAGACTGCATCACTCGCCATACAAAAAAAAAAATCGGTACTACTTTTCCATTGGAATTATAAAATCTATTATATTTTAAGACGTCCACCAAAATATTTCGGAAAAATATTAAGATTTAAGCGAGCTGGACCGATTTGAAAATACAGTATATTTTGCTTTGCTGCCTTTGTGCTTAATTAAGTGCACATTTAAGATACCTACCCCAAAATGCGCATCAGCGGCATTATTTTTAACATTTATAAGGAAACTGCTCCGATACTTGCCTTCAACATACCTGCACATTAGCGATACCTGCCTTAAAAATTTGCAACTATTATCAATTATCAAAGAAAGTATTACGTTTACCTGCACTTGCTGTACACTTATCCTAATTTTACAAGCTATTATTTATTTTGCTCATCTCGCAGAACAACGAGAACAGCAATTATTTTATGTAGTTATATAGATAATTAGATACCACTCGGTGGTGCAGTAATTTCTACGTGGTAAGTGCTCCTCCATTATTTGGTTTCATAGGGATTCGGATACCTTCCTTATTGAAGTAGTAAAGAAAATTCGCTTAAGTGCTTTTTTCGGTTAAGCGCACAAGTTTTTCGTGCAAAGAAGGATGGGCAGCTAAGCAAAATATACTGTACCTCAAAAAATGATTATATGGAGTACGTTTGTAACGACTTATTTCTCAAAGTACTAAACCGATTTTAATATTTAAACGAAGCATTTGTAAAAAGACGCAGAGTGGCATACTTATATTTTTTATACTTGGAAGATAAGCACCCTTTTTTTGGGTGTAAAGTTACAAAAAATTACAAAGACGTACAAGCATAAGCCTATTTGGTTGCCAAATACAGCGCATAGCTACGCGAAAAATCTGTACATCAGTGCCGATCAAACACGAGCTCACAAAGGCAAAAGAGATGTGTATGAGCGACGTGACTGCGCTATACCACATACATACACACATAAACGTATTTGAGCTAAACAGCGATCACTGATAGAACATGCTAAATACATACATATGTATGTGTGTACACATTCATAACCGAAAGGCAAAGCATCGCTTCGAAGTCATGGCAGTATGTGGTTGACACAACAAACTACCCTGCAGTACGGGGGAGTGACTACAGGACTGCTGAATGGGTAGCTCCCTGATAAACACCGTCAATTACCGACCGACTACTTGCAGTGTATTTCATCGATTACTTTTACAAGGCAATGTCCTAGGCGGTAGTCACCATCGGCTCTCTCTGCACTACCTGGAGTTACTAAAGTAGTCACTTGCGTGATTTATGGGCGCCCTCTGTCGTAGTTTTTCGCTATTCTGCTTACGACTGGTTCGACTCTGCACTACCATGTGCACTACCACGGGTTAATAGAGTAGCTACTTACCTAGGCGTCGGTGCAGTAGCGGTTCAAAAGTAGCGATTGACTCCAGCAGTACTGGAGGGTAATCATATGTATGTATGTATCCAAGTATGTCCATACACAGAGTTCAAAACAAACGAAACATTTCACGAATGATTCGTCCAAAGACACAAACTTTGCAAAGAAAAAAGAGTGCAAACAAAACGATTTCTGTTTCGCTCATTGACGAGCATTGGTAGATCGTTTTTCGTACAGATGAAGAGTGTAATCAGCTACAGCAATTTTTTTTCGAAAATGAACCAAAGCTAACATCAGAGCAGTTATTAATATGTATATGATAAGATGATATCTAGCGTAAAAAATAACACAGGATATGTTTTTTTTATAGACGCACCTGGAGGAACAGGCAAGACGTTCGTTACTTCACTACTTTTGGCTAAAGTTCGTGCGAAGCCAAAATTGCTGTTGCTGTAGCCTCTTCTGGCATTGCTGCTACTCTTCTATGTGGGGGAAAACTGCTCACTCCGCGTTCAAGCTACCTCTTAATTTTTCACCAGAACAACCCTGTATATGTTCGATAAAAAAAATAGTGCCGCCGCTGTTGTGTTCCAGAAAGCATCGCTAATAATATGGGATGAGTGTACAATGTCACATAAGTGTCATATCGATGCCGTGAATACAACACTTAAAGATTTAAGATCTTCTCCGGCGGTAATGGGTGGAGTTACTTTTGTATTCACAGGAAATTTTAGGCAAACATTACCGGTGGTCCCTAAGGGCACACGAGCAGATATTGTGAACGCGTGCTTTAAAAAGCCTGAAGTATGGTCACATACACAAAAATTAAAATTGTCTACCAATATGCGAGTTCAGCTTAGTAGAGATGGTCGTTCAAATCAGTTTGCTGAATACCTACTAAAAATAGGCAACGGCTCCACATCCATAACTCGCGACGGTTATATTACCATTACGGATGTTATGGGAAACTGTGTTACAACGATTGAGCAACTTATTGATCATGTATATCCAGATATGAATTATGTGCAGCACAAACACTCCAGCTGGCTATGCGAGCGAGCTATCGTCACTTCAACGAACTCTGCCGCAGACGAGATTAACAAGGCAATTTCGCAGAGAGTCTCAACAGAATATAAAGTATATAAGTCTTTGGACTCAAGAAGATATCGTTCACTACCCAACGGAGTTTCTCAACTCTCTTAACCCCCCGGGACTACCTCCGAATGAATTAAACCTTAAAATTGGTACGCCAATAATACTTTTGCGAAATCTTAAGCCTCCCTGTTTATGCAATGGCACACGACTCAAAATTACGCGTTTTATGCCTAATATTATTCAAGCGAAGATTTTAACCGGGCCTGCAGCAGCTGAAATCACTATGATCCCGAGGATACCAACAAATTTACCTTTTAGTTTCAAAAGAGTACAGTTCCCTGTCAGAACATGCTTCGCAATTACTATTAACAAGTCACAAGGGCAAATTTTTAATACTATTGGAGTTGATCTCCGGAGCGAAGTCTTTTCTCACGGCCAGCTATATGTTGCGCTGTCGCGAACTGGTG